GAGAAATAGCGATAACAAACTTTCACTATCAAAATCCAAGATGGCTGCCTGTCAGCCATGTTGTTTATCCGATCAGTCTCTAAAATTGCCCTGCACAGCTAGGACCAAGGGGAACCTACATATAAAATTTAAGAAAGATCTCTCTGGTACTTCTTGAGAAATACCGATAACAAGAATTGTTTACGGACGGACCACGGACAACGGACGGACCACGGACCACGGACGCAGGTTGATTTGAATAGCCCACCATCAGATGATGGTGGGCTAAAAAACAGAAGATGTTATGTCGAGGTGTACCAAAATGAAGACAACAAATTAAAGTTTATAGTGAACAAAAAAGCCATATTAAATATCTATGATTGTGTACGAAGTCCAGGACTAAGTAAGTAAGTAAGATATTCCTATCAAAACATGCAACATGACAAAAAGTGTATCCAGTTTGAGATCATATCAACAGTAGGCTAGGTGTTTTTTTTATCAAGTATGAGATTCAGACAGAGATAGGTTCTGTCAAAATACCAATATTACAACTAGGGGCAATATATATATAACTTACCGACTCTTTCCTGCTCGACCAGGTTTTGATTTTGCAAACAATGCAGGGTCAAGATCTTCTAAATTCTTGCCTTTTGTGCTAAATAATCTAATTGCACGTTCCTCTAAGGTACTGTAAAATAAAAGGCATGTAAATAGTATTCCAAATTTTGTTTGTACAACAACTGTAAAACTGACAGGACACAAAATATGACTTTGTTATAAGTTTGTAGTTAAGAATGTGTGACAAGGAAAGTTATTTTTAGATATATGAATAACGAACAATAAGCATTGGCAATATTTTAACTCATAACTTAATAGAAGTCATGTTCATTTTGTTTAACATTGTGACATTTATTCCACTATTATTCTTAAAAATAATATTATGGAAGTGTAAAATATCTAGTTTTTATGAAAACTCTTTCATTAAAAAAAGGGCATGCAAACTTTAAAAATACAAAAAGCTGACTTTGCTATTGAGTGAATAGACAGAATGAAATACTATACCCTCCACATTTCACACCCAATGCCATCAGAGCACTTTTCAGTCTGTCCAATCCCAGGGACGCCAACTCCTTCATAAAAAAAAATACAATTTTGTAAACTGTACTTGCTTAGTTAATCTTACTAATTCAAAAATTTGTGCTCTATATATAGTCTACCACGAATACAAAAACTTCAGGGTTTTTAAAGAAAGAAAAAAATCAGTTAGTTTTTTAAACTTGAATTTTATTTTGAGCACAATAGTTTTGGAGAACATGTAAAGGGCAATTTTGAAAACGATTTGTTTCTTTCTTTGCAGTGTTTTAATTGAACCTTTAACTGAATGTATTCCACATATTTTGTATGCTGTACTTATTCAATGGTGTTCCACTTACCTCCCAGGAAGAAAAAGCAGACAGATCTAAATGGGCACCAGTGTGGGCCAATGCACCTGTTGCTTCTTTCTGTAAAGGGAGATAACTTACAGTACAATAATCTGTGTAATTCCCCTTCAAGACTTAGGGCCACTAATATAAAATAGAGGTGGTAGTGGTACTCAGTATTATACTATTACCTTGAATACATGAATTATCCAAATAATTAAATTTTTGCTAAATGTTACATATTGATAAGCATTTGATGGCTTTTTTATGTATAATTCACTGATTTGCAGAAAAACTTCTGACATAGAAACAATTCCCTTTTATGCAAATTACAAGATGTGAATTACAATAAAGTCACATAATATAACAAGAGGCCTAACAGCCTTGAGTTACTCACCTGGCTATTTTGCAATGAGAGTGAAATCTGCCCAGTTTGTTTGTATAACTTTAATATTTGATCCCATGTGCTAAGGATGTTAAGATTGAAATGTTCTCAGTAGTTTGGAAAGAGATACCATTTGAAGTAAATCAGACAGTTTCACCCCTTTTACTCCATCTCTCTGCTTTTTTGGGGGGCTTTTTTTGTATATTTTTTATCTTGTTGGGTTAAGCATGCTACCAAAAACAACTTGGGCGAGATCTGGTGAGATCTGCCTAGTAGGAGATCTGCCAAGTAGGAGATCTGGTGAGATCTGCCCGGTAGGAGATCTGGTGAGATCTGCCCGGTAGGAGATCTGGTGAGTTCTGCCCAGTAGATGGAGAGATATCATTTAAGCAAATTAGCTTATTAACTTCTTTCAACCCAGCCCCTCAGCCCCGGGAGAGTCTGTACCCAACTTGCATACCTTTCGATCTCCTGGCCTATGGATGCAAGCACCCAAATATAGATGAATTATGCACAGTAGATTTGGAGATGTCATTTAATGCTAAAGCTGATAGATGACAAGTGACAGAGACAACAGATGAAGCACCACCACATTATCTCATCCTGGTAGCTAAAGATAGTTTTCAAAGTAAAATAAATGGCTGATTTTAAACTTACAGGCCAGCCTGGGAAGTTTCCATCAATCCATTGTGCTTCAAACTCAAGTCTCACATTGTCCATTTCCTACAAATATAAGATGTTATAACACAACCTTACTAAACTGACCCTATAATTAATCATCTAAACCTGCAGATCTGTTATTAAATCTGACCATGTGTAATTTTATTGCACATCCTGTCTGATCACACTAGTCAGAACAATGTCAGAATAAGCTGAGGTTTTCATGTCATATAGAAGCATTTTGTTTCAAAATAATGAAGACTGGTCAATCAAAAAAAGAAATAAAAAAGAACAGAGACAAAAAAGACACATCAATTAAATTCTAACAAGTGAAAAAGAAAATTGCAGAATGTTCAAACACTCCATATAAATTCTTAGAACATCATGACTAACCTTGTATGTTATAAAAAATGTGTGTAACTTACATCATTGATGTCCAGTAAGGGTCGCACCCTCTGTGTGTAATCTTCCAGGTACTCCAACATAAACAGCAAATAACTACAAAGAATTGTATCAATTTCTTACTCAATTTATTAGAGTACCCGAGTAAACAATATCACTAAAACACCATTACCATAATACATTGTAGATATGCAGTACCAATATATATTTCCATACATGCAACTAAACTATTGTATTACAAACCTTCTTGTTCATTTCTTTTAGGATTTTTTTCTGATTGATCATATTAATATTACACTCAGTTTTTCAATACAGGAACATTTAAAGATAATTCTGTTCTATTTATTGTATTTATAATACACACGAAAGAAAACAAAAGTAGCTAATATAAAAACTGCCTGCTTTCAATTTCAATGAATTTTATTGTCAAAGGACAAATGGATTGGGCAGCAGGCATAACCTATTTAAGCCCTTTCCAAACAGTGGTACAAGCATAGACATTAGAACACATACAAACACATATAAACAAGTTGGTATTATCAAATTAATAATCAAATTTGGGGAAACAACTACTAATACTCATTTTTATCATAATTGAATCTAATGGTTTAAATTCTAACCTTTTATTTTGATACCGAAAAGACATATATATATACATATTATGAAGAGAAAAGAAAAGTAATTTGTTGATGGAGCTGCATGTTTAAACATTTGATGGGATTAAAAAAGTCTGCCTGCTTTAAGCTTAGTCAGGGAATATGTCAGAAGTAACAAGACATTTTGTTTTGACATAAACATTCGTAAATCAAAATATTTGTGTAGCATGTCTGAACTGAACCACTCTTGTGTAAAATTAAGTTAATTGTAATTGATACCTTATAATTAAATAATCCTGCCTCTTCCATCACCGGAACAGTATTCTTGATAGACATGTTCAACACATAGTATTACATGCAATGTTTTATGGTGATTAACATTAATGGAACAGAATGCTTCATTGCGGTGAAAATTTAACCTAGCCTAACCCCCTGTGTGAACTTTTCAACATAAATGGACCTGTATAACATGGAAAACTGAATAAGTAAGGCGATCCAACACTCCTTATGTCGGTAGTGTTCTAGGGCAGAGCTGGGGGTGGATTTGCTAGAGCTCCTCATTAATAAAGCATAATGAAAGAAGAAAACCTCAAGAACAGATTGCGATTTTTACTTGTTTGTCTACATGCTTCGGCCTGCTATGCGACCATGTTTGGAAACCTGTCTTAAACAAACCACACTGACTAGACACTAAGTTCAGGAAATCTCACTCTTTGTATGCTGCATTCTTCTTGTCCTTTGGAATTTCAAACAGCTGGTCAAACGTCGACATATATGTCAGGTAATCTATTTTCTGAAATAGTTGATGAGTTTAATCATTTACAGGCTGTATGGTAAATAACTAATAAAACACAAATTTTGAACAGCTTTTGACCAACATAATAACAAAAGTTTGCCTATTGGCGATAAATTTTTATTTTTATTTAGTAAATATTAATAGAAATATGTTATATATTGAAACATGTCGATGTCTGTGTTCATCTTAGCACCCAGCTATTCAGAAATTCTGGGAGAACACTGCTGATAGATAATCCTATATATAATTTGTTTAATAATTTACAAACCTCAATTCCTTTTAAATTAATATATTTCTCATAGCACTCATGAAGATCAAGATATTTGCCATAGCCTTCCTCATCTGCAAAATCAGCCATGTCTGCAAATCATTAAAAAATAACAAAGAGGTCATTTAAATAGTCATTGATTAATTTAGGACTATATATTAAGTACTGCCTGACATCCCATGAAAGATATACATGTATTACTATATTGGGAAACATACAATTTCCATCTTTTCTCTCTGACCACCTATCCAATGGTACCATATGTGTTGAAAATTTACAATCGATTTTGTTACATTTACTTAAAATTAATAAAGCCAAGATCCAAGTTATTAATAAAATCATTTTAGAGTGTCCAGGTTTCCAAAGTAAGTAAAAGCCAAACCCTGGTAGTGAAAACTAGATCTGTAAGCCAAAGGCTAATATTCCATTGCTCACACATACAAACAAAAATTTAAAGGTAATAATCATGTGATCATAAATGCTGTTTGAGTCTAAAAAGTAAGTAGCAGTACTTTAAACAAGACTTATAAAAACAATAACAAAAAAATTATACCCCTCCCAGTAAGTGACCCTGAAGTTGATCTTAAGAGCTTTTTAAACCCCTATACAATGTCATATAACAGTTTCAACAAACAAAATTTCAGATTTTTTTATTCTTAATTATCTGCCATAAATGAAAGAGTGGATGGACAGAGGGGTACCAGATTACTACAGGGAACCTACATCCCTGATGAAAGGCCTTAATTCATGTAACAGGATTCGGGAACTAAATACTTTAACTTATCAGTCTCCAAAACACACAAGTATTCGTTTTCATAGTGAAGAATACATACTAAGCTGTATCTAGAAAAGGGTGAACCATATTATCACAACAAAATGGTTTCCCTTTTAGTAAAGTCTACAATCCACTTACTCTGTGCTTCATCTGCTGGGTTTTCTCTGGCTTTTGCTAGTTCGTCAAACTCCACAGACATAGGTATACTGATCTGGAAAAGGTAAATAATCACCAGCTTCTTTGTATTATCTTTATAAAGTTAACATATCAAACATAAATACAAACACCTGTAAACTCCTATCATTGTTCAAAGTAATTCAAGAACTTACTATTAAATTTATATTGATGTTTATGTTGATGTACTGTTTCAATTCTATGTCACCCAAACCCATTGCATTTGTACTAAGTATCATCAGAAAGCAAATCCAAAGTCTCACCAACTTTCCCTAAAAATGTACAAAAGAATTAAGTATATAACAACCTCATACATTCAATACACCTACCTCATTGGGATGTTTTTTATGAAAGTCTCTCAATCCTTTTAATCTGGAGTAAAATTCTGCAAACTCATTTGGTCCTGATAAAGCTTGTACTTCCTCTTTCCTTAATCTAATACGTACAAAAATAGTGTAATACATGTGCTGTGTAAGCGCAACATTTTGTTATTAAAAGCCAGTAGAATATTTACATTTCATGTATTTGTAAAATTATTTCTATAACAAAACACAGAGAAAAACAAAACTGAAAATATGAGTACCAGTATGGTAAAATGATCAAATTGAAGAAAATTACCAAGTAATAGAAATGGAACAAGAGGCCCAAGTCTTAATTAATTGTGTTGGAAATATGTACTAAATAAAGTGAACTATCAGTCAATTATTTAAATGAAAACAGTGTGAAAATTATATACCAATTATTCTAGATTTATCGACTAAGGTCTTCTCGAAAATTTAAAAGCTATTTATTCATAAAAGCTTTATATGTTCACTTTTTCATATACATATATATAAATAAAAGGCAGCTCTTCAGTTGACTTTTGACCTGACCATGATATATTAGAACAAGATTGCCGCCGGGCTGAACAATATACGCCCGTCGAATGCCATATAGTTTTTTGTTACTGAAATGAACAAAGGGCAATTACTTTTGCAAAATTCGTTGAATCAAAATTCTTTCAAGGGAGACACAATTTCATATCATGATTATAATGTATACCAAGTTTCAAAGAGATCTGTTGAAAAATGTAGGAGGAGATTGCCGGACAAAAATAAAATACTGAAATAAACAAATGGTAATAACTTTTGCAAAAATTGTCAAATTAAAGTTCTTTTCAAGGAAACACAACTTCATATCATGATTATATAGCCTACAAAGTTTCAAAGAAATCCGTCAAAAAATGTAGGAGGAGATCTCCAGACAAAAAATCAAATACTGAAATGAACAAAGGGCTATAACTTTTGGAAAAATTGTCGAATCAAAATTCTTTTAAGGGAGACACAACTTCATATCATGATTATAATGTATACCAAGTTTCAAAGAAGATCCGTTAAAAAAATGTAGGAAAAGATTGCCGGAAAAACAAAAGTTTATGCCGGCCGGACAATCCCATAATACTCCCGTCAAAATTTGACGGGCGTATAAAAAGACGTATGAGCATTAGCTTGTCTTCTGGCATACAAAAATATGATCTCAGCTCCAGACCTCATAATTTTTTATAAAAAGTGTGATCCTGGTGATGTTGAAGGTAGCTATTGGGTAAATACCATGACCATAAGCCTTTCATTCTTATTAATGAAGAAGTTGTATAAAGAAAAAGTTGTGGATGGGTGACAGACTCCTCACCATACCATAAACTCAGTCACAGACACCTGTGGATGGGTGACAGACTCCTCACCATACCTTAAGCTCAGTCACAGACACTTGTGGATGGGCGACAGATTCCTGATCACCATACCATAAGCTCAGTCACAGACACTTGTGCATGGGTGACAGACTCCTCACCATACCATAAGCTCAGTCACAGACACCTGTGGATGGGTGGCAAGACTCCTGATCACCATACCATAAGCTCAGTCACGGACTCTTGTGGATGGGTGACAGACTCCTCCCCATACCATAAGCTCAGTCACAGACACCTGGGGATGGGTGACAAGACTCCTGATCACCATACCATAAACTTAGTCACAGACACTTGTGGATGGGTGACAGACTCCTCACCATCAATATAAGCTCAGTCACAGACACCTGTGGATGGGTGACAAGACTCCTGATCACCATACCATAAACTCAGTCACAGACACTTGTGGATGGGTGACAGACTCCTCACCATACCATAAGCTCAGTCACAGACACCTGTGGATGGGTGACAAGACTCCTGATCACCATACCATAAGCTCAGTCACAGACTCTTGTGGATGGGTGACAGACTCCTCACCATACCATAACCTCAGTCACAGACACCTGTGGATGGGTGACAGACTCCTCACCATACCATAAAGTATAAGCTCAGTCACAGACACTTGTGGATGGGTGACAGACTCCTCACCATACCATAAGCTCAGTCACAGACACCTGTGGATGGGCGACAGACTCCTGATCACCATACCATAAGCTCAGTTACAGACACTTGTGGATGGGTGACAGACTCCTCACCATACCATAAACTCAGTCGCAGACACTTGTGGATGGGTGACAGACTCCTCCCCAACAATATAAGCTCAGTCACAGACACTTGTGGATGGGCGACAGACTCCTCACCATACCATATACTCAGTCACAGACACCTGTGGATGGGTGACAGCCTCCTGATCACCATACCATAAGCTCAGTTACAGACACTTGTGGATGGGTGACAGACTCCTCACCATACCATAAACTCAGTCACAGACACCTGTGGATGGGCGACAGACTCCTGATCACCATACCATAAGCTCAGTCACAGACACTTGTGGATGGGCGACAGAATCCTCACCATACCATAAAATATAAGCTCAGTCACAGACACTTGTTCATCGACAGGTGAGCTTTAGAGCATATACATGGTGTACACTATTTACCCATCTTTGTCTTCATACAGCTCTTTCAATTCTGATGTTCCTTCTTCATATCTCTGAAATCAGATCAAAAGTTTGAGGTTTACAGTAGGACTCACTGATCATGACATAAATTTCCATTATATATAAATTGTATCTGCTGGTAATTTTCTCAAAAAAGATTTGAATGCTCTATTTTTTCCCCTGACTTTTTCAAATTTATATTTTGTATGATTTAGTTCGCAAGAGGTATCAGTGTGTAACAATTCAATCTAATTACAAAGAAATGAATCATGTACTTACATCAAGCAGTTGTCTCAGTCTGTGATCAGAATTGATTTGTTCTCGGCCCTGAATTAAAAAAAGTATTTAACTAAAATAAGTAACTGTACTTCCATGGGAACACGTTATAGTAATGGCCAACAAGAGTGATTAATATGTTTTAAAAACTTTAATCATAATAGTCGTAAAATAAATTATTTGTTCTCCTATGAATATATATTTTTCTTTTACAAGTAGACATTATAAACTACGGAGTTAGTCACCAGGTCAATGATGACAGAACAAATTTAGTGGGGATGAATTGGTCTAGAAAGCCTTTTTTTAGAGATGTTGGCTAACGCCTACCAATTTGAAGTCTCCTGCAATAAACTTAAAGATCATGCTGCCATGGGTTCCGTTAAAATATCAAAAAATTTCCTGTGTCAAGTTACCAACTACAAAAATACCATGCTTTTGATACAGAAGCCATCCAATCTAGCATTGTTTTTCATTTCAAAACATCAACAAGTGTGGCCATGTGCAAATGACCTTACAGTATTTCCGTAAGCCTACCGGTTTTGCAGGATGAAGCATTTCTTTTGTCATCGCATCAGTTAGTCTTTCTCGTTCCTCATGATACCGACGCTGTTGTTCCAATAAGGTCTCCATCGTTGGATAAGACAAATTCAACTTTCGCTCCGGCGACTATTATGCGATGCGTGTTGATCAGTGTTCCATAAATGCTTGGTTTTAAGTCGCATTTAAGTAAAACGCTTTAGTCACTGAAATGATAAAGCTAACTTTTATTTGAAAAATACGAAACTAAAACGTTTACAAGACAAGATTAAAGATACTTATACCGTCATAAGTTGTTAAATTACCACAAATATTAAAAAAAAAAAATCAAAAAAAATCTGCATATTATTTTCAATAGTATAACAAAAGACATTAATAAACTTTACTTCTGGTAGATATAATTTGATTTTCTAGTCTGAAATAACCCTCCTTTCAAAATGTATGAAGAGGAGGAGAGATATCTCCACCCATCAAAAAATTGAAAGGGGATCTCTGTCCCATCAAGTTTTGTTAATTAAGGAGATATTTATGTCTGACTAGCTTCAGAAATGTGGGGTGAGTTAGTCAAACCAAGGACTTAGATAGCGATAGAAAAATATAGTGAAGCTCAAGCCTTGTGGTTTTTGACATTAGTGATCCAAGATTATGAAAAAGTGCAAGGGTTTCCAATTTTCATAAAAATCTGACGGATAGATGCTAAAGGGAACGTTGAAAATGTAAGTTACCTGGCTTTGCACTTATTGACCCCTTATGAACCCACACATACTTCCATGGGGGAGATTCTGTATGCTTAAAATCTAAACATGAATAAAATGTATGTACGTATTTACCCCCTAGATACAAAATAACCCTTTATAATGTATGTACGTATTTACCCCCTAGATACAAAATAACCCTTTATAATGACATATTTTCAGAATATAGTAATAATTTAACAAGTTTACTGGTTGTAAACATTAAATTTAAGCATATACCTAAATTAACTTTAGGTCTCTGATTTAAGGGACTCTACCTCCTAAATAGGCAGTTGGCAAGTACTACGTATATGCCCACATGGGAGGTAAGTCCGTGTTTTTGTATAAACATCATTTTATGAAAAGCTTGTGAAAATCCACCAGTTAGTCTCACAGAAGTCTTTGTACTCTGTGACCCCTATGGTCCTAAGTCCCTCAGCCCCCTGGGAGGTCAGCTTCATATCTCACTATGGACTTATGATTAACACCAATTCAGTTTTTATCAAAATGTGATTTTTTTACACATGCACACACGAGACAGACGAGTTACGACGACGGATAAAAGGTGATTGCAATAGGTCACCCAAGTAACGAAAATTACATGAAGTTGAAAATTGAAATTAATCGTTAGATGAATATGAATAAAGTTGAAACAAATTGTGTATTTAAGTTTGATCTGAATAGAACAACAGCCAAATCAATACTGTCCCTGGCCAAATGTATCTGCACTGATTCAAGTTCTTCAAAGAACCTATTTATATTTTGTTTTATCCCTTGGGGTATTACACATGTTAAGGTGTGTGCACGTACGGACTTAGATCATCTAATTCCGGGGTAGCTGTAAGGTAGAATTATTTGTGAACTTATTTTTGACTTTCAGCAAAAATATATCTTGTTTTTATCAATGAATTATTGAATAATATTGAAAAATGTGGGAAGGGGACAGTTATAGCAGATCTGCGAGTTAACATCCAACGCAAGCAGATGATATATATATGTGTAATTTGTACTAAATACTATGTGAAGAGTACAGTAAGAAATGGAGATTTACATTTTCTTCTGCTAAAAGCAAAATTGTAACCTTTTCCTGTAAAAGAAGAAATTACGTTACGTGCATGTAACAAATAACGGAGCGGAACCATGATCATCATTCGGTGTGGAGCCCATCCAAGTGCTTTAAATCCACTAACTATAAGTAGAATTATATGAATGTAAAGTGTATGCTGCAGCCTTACATAGTTGTGAATTATGGTGTTTATCCAGTATTATGGAGACAGGCACTTAAATTTCCACCCAAAAGATAAGCTATACACTATGTCATGAAATTATTTGTAACTATCAGAGAGTGTGAGGGTGAAGAATTATGTCATAAATGTGGCTTTATGTACAGTGATATTGCCACACATATAGGTCTACGTAACAATGTGATTATACAGGAGAGTTAAGAGATAAATTATGGTGTGACATTATAAAATATAAGACATAGTGTTTAGTGTGTATTTACATTCCATGCCTGATTATGATCTATTTCATATCCTCATCGGAGGAAATGTAGAGCATGAGTTGAATTCATCTGAGTTAGATGACTTTCACATTAAATCTGTAACTTGTATATTCAGAATGTGCCGGGCAAACTTAACTACAAATGATATCTTAACCTAAACTTTATGTGTCAATTGTAACATTCTTCCTTTTTCTATATTTCGTATGATGGTCATCTCTCTTCAATAACTTGAGATAAGTAAGGAGCGTATATTATAGAGACGCAAAGGGGAGTTAACTCCAGCGTAACCCTAACTTTACAATACAATTTATCTTTTGAATTTCAGTTTGTATATTGTCATATAACATGTACGTTACTTTGTCAATTTTCAATGAATGCATTTATGTATTGTTCTGTTTGTGAATCTTCGATTCGGAGGAAATAAAGAGAATAATAATGCCACATCCTATGAATTATTTAATTATAAGACTTCAAAATTGTCTTGCCGACAAAACAGTGCATCCAAGAAAATGGTGGCAGATAGCAAAATCTATAGGAAAAATGAATAACACTAGCACTAATTCTTATCCTCTAAAATCTAACAATAAAATATTAATCCATCCACAAGATAAAGCTGAGGCACTAAATAACTTCTTTACCACCATTGCCTCTGATATTACTGACACTAACCTACCTGATTTACCTCCCTTATGTCCATTTGAACTTTCTGACATTAACATTACTGAACAAGATATAACTGACCAATTTGACATTTTTAATAAAAACAAACCAGCTGGTCCTGATGGTATTTTACCTATGATTGTAAAGAACATTTCTGCTTCTTTAGTATACCCACTCAAACTATTATTTAATAGAACTTTATCTATTGGAGTAATACCTGATGTACTAAAAACGGCTAATGTTACTGCTCTCTATAAAGGTAAAGGAGATATCAGTGATCTCAATAATTATAGACCTATTGCTATTACATCTATTTTTATCAAAATGTTAGAAAAAAATATTTTTAAATATACGTTTAATTATATTTCAAGTCACAATATGTTAAGTGTACATCAGTCAGGATTTCAACCCAAAGACTCCACTACTAATCAACTAGCTGATATCTATAATACTATAAGTGGCAATTTAGACCAAGGTAAAGATTTGCGTTTTGTTTTCTGTGACATAAGTAAAGCATTTGATCGAGTATGGCATTTGGGCCTATTATATAAACTAAAAACATATGGTATTAAAGGTAAATTATATAATTGGTTTAAAGCTTACTTATCTGACAGAAAACAAAGGGTTATCTTTGAAGGTTATAAATCTAGTACCAAACCTATGTCTGCAGGGGTTCCTCAAGGATCTGTCCTTGGTCCCTTCCTCTTTCTTCTTTTTATTAATGATATTACTAATAATGTAACTTCTCATATAAAACTCTTTGCAGATGATACCTCTCTCTATGTAATAGTAAATAATAACAATGACCTTACAACACCTACTAACATGCTTAATGATGATCTTGACTCAATCTCTGAATGGTCAAAGCGATGGCAGATCCTATTCAATCCGAATAAGACTGTAGCTATTAACTTCTCTCGTAGACACATTAACAATCATCCTCAACTGCTATTTAACAATACTCCAATTGCACAACATGAACACCATACTCACTTAGGACTAACATTTAACAGTAAAGGGACATGGTCAGATCACATTTCAAATATTTATAAGAAAGCGAACTCTAGACTAAGTATTCTTAGAATTTTAAAAACTACAGTTGATAGGAATACATTAAAAACATTATATGTCTCTTATATAAGACCTGTGCTAGAATATTCTGATATAGTATGGGATAATTGTACCAAATCGGAATCAGATCTTTTAGAATCAGTTCAACTAGAAGCTATGCGTTTAATTACTGGCCTCAGACGAGGTACATCTCATCATATTCTGTATACTGAAACACAACTTGAAACATTACACACACGAAGACAAAATCATAAACTAACATTAATGTATAAGATTCTTAATAATTACACTCCAACTTATCTCGATAATATCATTCAACCATTTCTAAATGTAAATAATAACTATACCTTCAGAAATAACAGATTCTTTAATATACCACAGACAAGAACTACTACTTATATGAATAGCTTCTTCCCTTCTACAATGGTAAAATGGAATGCACTTGATAGCACTGTACGAGACTCCATCTCAATTTCATCTTTTAAAAAGAAACTTAAAAAAACCTTTGATACATCCGTCTCAGAAACTTTTATTAACTGTGTTCCGAGGAAACTTAACATAATTTTATGTCAGCTAAGAAATTTTAAAAGTGATCTTAACTGTGATAAGTTACAAGACCATCTGATTGATGATGCTTCCTGTGTATGTGGTGTACAGAGGGAAGATCTAATACATTTTTTCTTTCAATGTCCTCTGTATTCTAATATTAGGCATCATATTACCACTATTTATAATCTAGTAGGATATTTAAATCTGCACTGTTTAGTATATGGTATTAGTAATGCATCCAACCAATTAAATAAAACTATTCTTATACATGTTGACTCTTATATTAAATCATCAAAACGTTTCGTTACTTATACGTGCTAGATAAATTTCCAAATGAATATTCATGTATTGTTATAATTATTGTTATTCAGGCAAGTTTTATCCCTTAAATAACGAGTATTAGACATAAGCTGGTGTGGGTGTGGGTGTGCATGAGTGTGAGAGGAAACGAATCACAACATTTTATATATTTAAGCATTGTACATATCTACCGGAATTAGAAGAAGACTGATATAGGCAAAGCCTGTTGTCTTATTCTTTTGTCAATACTGTTCAAATATCTCCTTTAATGTTAACTTATATGTTTGTATTATATATGTATTGTCAATAAAATACTTTGAAATTGAATTATTTGTGAATTTATTTTTGACCATATATGCTATGACTTTTCATCACCTATTACCTTCTATCTTTTTAAAAAGTTGTAACTGAGTGTCATAACTTTAGTGATTTCTTAAATTTCTTAAGATTTTTGTCCAGCTAGTATGATGGGAAAACTTGACAGTCAATACTTCAGGGTTCCAAGGTCAAGGTTAGTATTTTTAGAAATTTGTAAACTATTTAGGGACATCAATCTATCAATTATATTCTTTATGGATTTTGATCACACATATTACATACAGGTGTATGAGAATACCTTAAATGATTTTGGATTTAAAATTTCTAAGGTCACTGTTACTGTTTATGGACTTTTCCACACAGTTTTATTAGTAATGTTTTACTGTATTTATATATACTATGAACTTGTTATTGGCTACCTGCTACAGGTATTTACCAGAGCCTCTCATGATCTAATATATTCACATTTCATAACTCGAGTATTTTTTAATATCATATTCCCGATACAATCAAACCTGCAGGTGTAAAATGACATCCCAGGGGACTAGTATCGGTTGTTATAGACAGGTGGTCACTGTGTGAGATTCAGAGTTAATATTATAAGGGTCAAGTCATTGATCTGTATCTTGAAGCTTTTAACATTTTTACATCGACCTAGGTTTTTTGTAGAAAAAAAACATTGGTATGTTATGGCCTAGAGAAGAAGTCAAGATGAGACAGAGAGTGAAATGCATGGACCAATTAAAACTAGTAAAAAACAACTTTTGGCTTCTAACATCTTTTATTCATATTGCACATTTGAATTCATAACCATCAACGTCTATAACAACTGACCTATACATATCCAACAAGCTAACATACTCTTTTCTTTCACATCAGATACATGTACATACAAATTAACTCTGACAGTATTATACACTGCATCAGTCATATAAATAATTAACTCTGACAGTATTATACACTGCATCAGTCATATAAATAAACTCTGACAGTATTATACACTGCATCAGTCATATAAATAATTAACTCTGACAGTATTATACACTGCATCAGTCATATAAATAAACTCTGACAGTATTATACACTGCATCAGTCATATAAATTAACTCTGACAGTATTATACACTGCATCAGTCGTATAAATTAACTCTGACAGTATTATACACTGCATCAGTCGTATAAATTAAATCTGACAGTATTATACACTGCATCAGTCGTATAAATTAACCCCGACAGTATTATACACTGCATCAGTCGTATAAATTAAATCTGACAGTATTATACACTGCATCAGTCATATAAATAATTAACTCTGACAGTATTATACACTGCATCAGTCGTATAAATTATATCTGACAGTATTATACACTGCATCAGTCATACAAATTAACTCTGTCAGAATTATACACTGCATCAGTCATACAAATTAACTCTGACAGTATTATACACTGCATCAGTCATACAAATTAACTCTGTCAGAATTATACACTGCATCAGTCATACAAATTAACTCTGACAGTATTATACACTGCATCAGTCGTATAAATTAACCCCCACAGTATTATACACTGCATCAGTCGTATAAATTAACTCTGACAGTATTATACACTGCATCAGTCATATAAATGTGTTTGTTTGATCGAAATAGAGAGAAACATGCTAGCTGGTAAGTGTTGCTGCATGTGACATTTCTCAGTATACTGGTTTAAATTTCCTTTCTTGTTGATTCATTGCCATTGTGTGTGTTTATACTGTAAGGATAGAGTTGGTCAGGTTTTATATTTTGTATAGTGCTGTTGACATCAGCCTTGCGGAAACGAAACAGGAGATTTTGATTTTGCTAATTATTTTTGTGCATTATGTGTGCAAGTCCTATATAAAAGAAATCTAGAACATTGATGATTATCATCAACAAAAATTACTGGCTGACTTAAACGCCTCCCTGTGAGGTGTAAATATTACAATTCACTTAAACCACAGAGTTAGATTGTTATCTAAGTCCATGCTTAAACAGTTCACTTTACAGTAAATCACAAAATACAATCAGCATAGGAATGTTATGAAAAGACATATTACTGAAATCTATAAACAAGTAATTAAGGTTGGTATATAACATTCATTTAACACAGCAGACATTAAAGCCCTTTACTTAGTGCTGTTATAATGACTATGTTGATGGACCAGGAGTCTCTGTACCAGACACAGCTATGTTGATGGACTAGGCGTCTCTGTACCAGACACAGCTATGTTGATGGACCAGGAGTCTCTGTACCAGACACAGCTATGTTGATGGACCAGGAGTCTCTGTACCAGACACAGCTATGTTGATGGACCAGGAGTCTCTGTACCAGACACAGCTATGTTGATGGACCAGGAGTCTCTGTACCAGACACAGCTATGTTGATGGACCAGGAGTCTCTGTACCAGACACAGCTATGTTGATGGACCAGGAGTCTCTGTACCAGACACAGCTATGTTGATGGACCAGGAGTCTCTGTACCAGACACAGCTATGTTGATGGACCAGGAGTCTCTGTACCAGACACAGCTATGTTGATGGACCAGGAGTCTCTGTACCAGACACAGCTATGTTGATGGACCAGGAGTCTCTGTACCAGACACAGCTATGTTGATGGACCAGGAGTCTCTGTACCAGACACAGCTATGTTGATGGACCAGGAGTCTCTGTACCAGACACAGCTATGTTGATGGACCAGGAGTCTCTGTACCAGACACAGCTATGTTGATGGACCAGGAGTCTCTGTACCAGACACAGCTATGTTGATGGACCAGGAGTCTCTGTACCAGACACAGCTATGTTGATGGACCAGGAGTCTCTGTACCAGACACAGCTATGTTGATGGACCAGGAGTCTCTGTACCAGACACAGCTATGTTGATGGACCAGGAGTCTCTGTACCAGACACAGCTATGTTGATGGACCAGGAGTCTCTGTACCAGACACAGCTATGTTGATGGACCAGGAGTCTCTGTACCAGACACAGCTATGTTGATGGACCAGGAGTCTCTGTACCAGACACAGCTATGTTGATGGACCAGGAGTCTCTGTACCAGACACAGCTATGTTGATGGACCAGGAGTCTCTGTACCAGACACAGCTATGTTGATGGACCAGGAGTCTCTGTACCAGACACAGCTATGTTGATGGACCAGGAGTCTCTGTACCAGACACAGCTATGTTGATGGACCAGGAGTCTCTGTACCAGACACAGCTATGTTGATGGACCAGGAGTCTCTGTACCAGACACAGCTATGTTGATGGACCAGGAGTCTCTGTACCAGACACAGCTATGTTGATGGACCAGGAGTCTCTGTACCAGACACAGCTATGTTGATGGACCAGGAGTCTCTGTACCAGACACAGCTATGTTGATGGACCAGGAGTCTCTGTACCAGACACAGCTATGTTGATGGTCTAGGAGTCTCTGTACCAGACACAGCTATGTTGATGGACCAGGAGTCTCTGTACCAGGCACAGCTATGTTGATGTCAGGCAGTATTTTACATGTGGTTATGATGTCAATCTTATCCTCCAGATAGAACAGGTCATTAGTCAGCAGTCTCATGTTGTGGGAAATATCCTGTAAATAACAAATAGGTCAGTAAAGACTCCAATCAACAACACAACCAGAAAGTAGAAACCTTATAAGGTTTTACAGAGAAGCAAATTTTCCATGATATTTTTTGATTTAATTTAAAGAGCTACCATCAATCCATAAAGGTATCTTACTGCCATTATCACTAATACAAAGACATTTTAGTCAGAGTTTATTCCATATAAACCACATCTTGTGATCCATTCTTTATGATATTTGTCTCAGTTGGATTTTTTGGAAAAAAAAGGAAGCAAAAAAGAAAAACAGATACCACAGGGGTCAAACTTATCTACTATCAATCCTAAATGTTACAAATAATGTTATCAAAGGCTTATATTGTACAGCATTACAATGGTAGAAAAATTCCTTTACATAGGATATTAATATGATCTCAATGTTTCTATTGAGAAATTGTATTTGTACAACATTCATATGGGAGAAGAATACCTTGAAAATGGAAGTTAACTCTATGCCCGAAAATTTACTTTTCATTGGTTCGATGGAAAACACTCAAAATTTAAAAAGAAATAGCCCTGAAGTGGGGCTGTTCTTCAAAATTATTACATGTGCAGTGGTACCCTAATCTTAATTGTATTCATTCTCAAAACACGGTTTTACTTGTGTACTGTTTTGAATATTTTATAGTTACCTATGTTCTTAACATACTTAATTCTGTTCCCTGTAAAACTACCAGGTATGAGGGAACTTTAACACCTAGAAAAACTATTTTTGTCATAGATTATATAGCTAGTATGATTGACATGTGCTTTTGTTCCCAGGAGAATGTTGAAGACCAGGTAACTAAACACCAAACTTTATCCCAGCAAAACTGAATAATTACACAATATACATGTGATATGACATTACCATGACAACGCTCTGGGACTTGTGAAGCTGCTGTGCTGTGTTGTGGAGGTCTTTAGTGGATGTTTGATAGGCCTGGTGAACAGCATCAACCATATGATGACGCAACGAGTTATTCCTCTCCCCTAACAAAACATCAATCTCAAATTACATTTGCATACATTTTATTATCATGTTCAAAAGTAAACATGATTTAATTTTTAATAAAGATGTTTCATCCAATCTTTACAAAGCACACACCTTAGATTACTTTCTTCAAAGGGCAATATAATACACATATTTAATACTATATTTCTATTTAATGGTTTTAAATCAAATAACCAGATAATGTTCAGAAAAAAAATACCATTAATAATTAAAATGTTATCGTAAATGATAAAAAAAGTTGTCTATATTGTCAAAGTTACTTACTTAATTTTCTGTGAAGCAACCTGAAAATACAAAATTCAGTCGGGATTATACGCTGTTTAAATTCACCAAACCCGAGTGCTAATCTTATTTATATACATAAAAATATCAATTGATTTTTTAGCATACTTCACATACAAATATATAAAGTGTAGCCTCTTCAATCAGGTTTTTTATAGTAATGATGGAACCTGCACTTATAAGTACTCCTCCTGGGACAAATATTTACTAAAATGACCATCATTAAATTTCTGTTTTTATTCTGTAATGGATTTTATAATTTCCTGATCAGTTCAGACAAGTTATGGATTTTATAATTTCCTGATCAGTTCAGACAAGTTATGGATTTTATAATTTCCTGATCAGTTCAGACAACTTCACAAGTATAACTGTATGCTATTATATTATCTGCTAATACACAGTGATTAATAAAATCACCTTTTTATTAATCGGGAATTCAATTAAGGCATACAATAATAAAAGCATTGATATATGACTGCCGCAGAGAGAAAACTATCAAAAGAGAAGTGTTTTACCAGCATCCAGCACCCTTATCAGGTATGATACGGCATATTATAATATTGCAAAACTGAGAAACCTTGAACAATCAGGAGATATCTAAAACATTTTATAGTAAAGGTATTAACAATGTTCTCAAAGTTCAAAACTATGGTGGAACCATGTCTTTAGGGAGGGAAAATTGACCTTGCTTACGTGTCATATTTAGGTCTGTAGACATCAACAGTCCCTGGGGTGGGAAAATTGACCTAACTTACGTGTCATATTTAGGTCTGTAGACATCAGCAGTCCTTGAGGTGGGAGAGGTGGGTGTTGACACTCTGTCCCCAGAGGTGATGTCATCATTGTCTCCTTTACCATTAGTGTCCACTAAGACATTATCAGGTATTAATAAAACAAAACTTGCAAAAGAATGTACAATGTTTATCATGTGACCGAGACATTCATGAATATATCATGAAACTTCTTATGTACAAAACCTAACTCTACCTTAATTTCGAGTATTTCAAGTTCATCATCTTCTGAATAGATAAAATTAGATATAAATTCCATGAGTCATGAAGATTTGAACAAATTATGTTAACTATAAACCATTTACAAAGAATTTGAACTTCTTTTAACTAGTATCTTGTGCAGGTCAAACACAAACTTAACACTTAAGGATTGGCTTTGATGATTTCAGCGGGGAAGTTTTGGTAAAAGGAAGCCAGTTTTTATTTAGCCTTACCTTTGAGAGGTGGAAGTTCCGGCTTGTCTTGTTTATTAGTTGGGACATCTGTCTCATCCTCTTCAGACTCTGAAGCTTCTCCAGACACCACTGTGGCTATTTGTTCAGAATCTGTTGTGTTCTGATGTGAGGTAACAAAAAAAATGAATGAAAACTAAAAATTCTCGCTTATCATATTAAAATTAACTGACAATCATGGGAAGAGTGGGGTTTAAATTTTGGATGACTGTGTTATCTTTCAGAACCATGTCAGCACAGGAGAAACTGGAGTAAAATGACCGTTGTTTAAAAATAAATGTTCATCCAGCTAAAGTAATTAAAGACAAACCTTGGTCATTGTAGCATCAACATCATCGTCATCCGACTCCGAGGCTTCGCCGGGGACAACTGTTTGTACATTAGTGTCCATCGTCCACCCCTTATCTGCATGAAATGAAACTAGACACGATCACGAGAACGCTTATTTACTACAATGAAAAACAAACGTTTGTAGGAGTCGGAAAAGACTTGTTCAAGTTCGTTCATTCTCACTTATCATGTAGAGTAAAAGTGGAAAATGAACTTTGCATTGCGAACGTTTTGTTATCTTTTCTCGAAAGAGAATGATAATAATAATATTTGTTTAGGTAAAAGGCAAATGATACACGTATAAATTTGATGTCAAATGTTGTTTGACCAGAAATTTGAATCTGTGTAAGTTCTTGGTTGCTTTAATATTATCTAGTAGGCCTAATGCATTCCAGTCCTTTATTGCACTATAAGAGAAAGATGTGGACTCTACCCCACTTATATTATTTATATAAAAGTTATATTGGCTTGATCTTGTACACCTCTTGTTGTTCCTTTCAAAATCTTCCTTCATGTAAGCTGGACATTTTCAGTCATGAACATTTTTAAAAACATGGTTTAATCTCAGTTGAGACACTCTATTACTTACATTCAACATATTTAATTTTTCCAGTTCAGCAAAAGTTATTGTTTTCCTCTAATCTAAATCCAAAATAAAACGAACAACCTTGTTTTGTGTAACTTGAAGTTAGTGTTTAAGATTTTTGGAGATACCCTCGTACTAAGATGAGCAAGCATAGTCAGCATGACATTGGATAAGTGCCGAGCAGAGTGTTTTTCTTGATGACAGAGATAGACTTTTTCTGGTTCGGTATAAACAAATTAGTCTCCGATTAATTTTCTGTATTGCATTGTTCACAATATGTTGTCCTGAAAGAAACTGGTCTAAGATTACACCCAAATATTTTACATGTGGTTTGGACTCAATAGTATGTCCATAGCATGTGTAGGATAATACACCGAAAGGGTTTTGTTTACTAACGTAAGTGCAGGCAAATTTCGTCACATTAGACAAATAAGGGTTTCAGGTACTAATTTATCAAAATACACATCAAAATGCCGACGAGCACCAGTACAGATGAAGATTTGACTGAAATGTCTATAAATAAACATTATGGTAAACACGCCTAAATGACGTCACGCAGCAACAAAATGTTTTTCTTCTTTAAATTTACCATATTCGCGAATCCAAGATAGACTGCGTCATAAAAACAGACATTTTTGCAACAAATGCTAACACGATTTTTCTGATCGTATATGAAAATAATCATTTGGTTTCGAACGGAAATCATTCAAAACCGATGTATTCAAAAATAATATTTATTTGATTCTTTGAACTTAAAATTTTTGAACACTTTTCATGGGTTTAGTTTAAAAAAAGTATTTTTTTCATCGACTACTTCATATATACAGTACAAAACATTCGTTATTCAGCAGCACAACATATACTACCTCGCCGGTATCTCTTTAAAGTTGAGTATCATTTTGTAACTTATTTTTACCTTGCCAGCCAGAGATACAAATCAAATTTGACAGCATCTTCAATCGAAATGGTATGTTCTATTATTTGTACTTATTTTGATCAACTTCTATTAATTTGATCTATATTTGAGAAGATAAGAATCATTATGGTATGTTGCATTAAAAAAAGGATATAATTTGTTCTTGTAACGTATCTCTTCACACAATTTGAACAAGTAACTTTATAACAGACTTCTATATTGAAAACAACTTCACAAAAGATCCAGATGTAATTAACATCAAGGTGGCTTTAACTTATGCTGCAAAAAGTGTGTACGTTAGCGTACATGTCACTATTTTTTCAATCGTTACTCCCATTCAAAACTTAAACAGATACGTTACCATTCCAACAGATACGTTACCATTCCAACAGATACGTTACCATTCCCAACAGATACGTTACCATTCCAACAGATACGTTACCATTCCCAACAGATACGTTACCATTCCAACAGATACGTTACCATTCCCAACAGATACGTTACCATTCCAACAGATACGTTACCATTCCAACAGATACGTTACCATCCCAACAGATACGTTACCATTCCCAACAGATACGTTACCATTCCAACAGATACGTTACCATTCCCAACAGATACGTTACCATTCCGATAGATACGTTACTATTCCCAACAGATACGTTACCATTCCAACAGATACGTTACCATTCCAACAGATACGTTACCATTCCAACAGATACGTTACCATTCCAACAGATACGTTACCATTCCAACAGATACGTTACCATTCCAACAGATACGTTACCATTCCAACAGATACGTTACCATTCCAACAGATACGTTACCATTCCAACAGATACGTTACCATTCCAACAGATACGTTACCATTCCAACAGATACGTTACCATTCCAACAGATACGTTACCATTCCAACAGATACGTTACCATTCCAACAGATACGTTACCATTCCAACAGATACGTTACCATTCCAACAGATACGTTACCATTCCAACAGATACGTTACCATTCCAACAGATACGTTACCATTCCAACAGATACGTTACCATTCCAACAGATACGTTACCATTCCAACAGATACGTTACCATTCCAACAGATACGTTACCATTCCAACAGATACGTTACCATTCCAACAGATACGTTACCATTCCAACAGATACGTTACCATTCCAACAGATACGTTACCATTCCAACAGATACGTTACCATTCCAACAGATACGTTACCATTCCAACAGATACGTTACCATTCCAACAGATACGTTACCATTCCAACAGATACGTTACCATTCCAACAGATACGTTACCATTCCAACAGATACGTTACCATTCCAACAGATACGTTACCATTCCAACAGATACGTTACCATTCCAACAGATACGTTACCATTCCAACAGATACGTTACCATTCCAACAGATACGTTACCATTCCAACAGATACGTTACCATTCCAACAGATACGTTACCATTCCAACAGATACGTTACCATTCCAACAGATACGTTACCATTCCAACAGATACGTTACCATTCCCACAGATACGTTACCATTCCCAACAGATACGTTACCATTCCAACAGATACGTTGCCATTCCAACAGATACGTTACCATTCCAAACAGATACGTTACCATTCCNATACGTTACCATTCCAACAGATACGTTACCATTCCAACAGATACGTTACCATTCCCAACATATACCTTACCATTCCCAACAGATACGTTACCATTCCCAACAGATACCTTACCATTCCCAACAGATACCTTACCATTCCCAACAGATACGTTACAATTCCAACAGATACGTTACCATTCCCAACAGATACATTACCATTCCAACAGATACGTTACCATTCCAACAGATACTTTACCATTCCCAACAGATACGTTACACAATGTATTAGTCAAGTGTTACACTCATACCACTTAGCATTATCATTAAAACAAACTTGACATCGATGTAATGATCACTTGTGATGAAATATATGCACCTATCTCAAATGTTCACATAACCAAGTCGATTTTATCTGGGAAAATAATGCACCAAAACAGAAACGTGACCAAAGTGAACACATACGTTACATGTTTTCCTGTTGATTTGATCCCTTATCCTCACATATCCTACCTTTTTTTCATAGCTTTTCAGTAATTTTAAAATCCTTTTAAATCTATTTATAGTAGTGAAATTTATTTGAACATCTACAATTACGTATGCAAGTTAACCATTATTATATATGCATTCATGCCTTTGGATTTCCAAAGATTTGAAGATGTTCCCATTGAAAACTAATCCAGCTGATGTAAGAACAGTTTGTAAAAGGTCTAATTACATTATTCCCATCAAAAATTAAATCCCACGAAACAAAACAAGAATCTAGAGTATCTTTGTTCGAAGCTACGATTATAGAACCATTTACAACGTATCTGTTTATAACGTATCTGTTTATAACGTATCTGTGTATAACGTACCTGTTTATAACGTATCTGGTCGGCAAAACTAATTACGTCAGCAAAATTAAATTCACTCGGTATTCGCTTTAAATTTACTTATTGTTAGACTTCAGTTTTATCGTATAAGCTATAAAAAAATTACAGTTTTATTAGACAAATACAGGTCACGTATACATGATCTTTTGAAATTTGAACGGACAAACCACGAATACTGTGTTTCATGCAGGATACTTGATATATGCTAACGGAATTAATGTCGATGGATTTATATGCGATATAAGATACCCTTTAGTCAATATACAAAGATATTTTAATTTTGTACTCACCGAAAATATTGATATTGAATTAATTAAGTTTTGTTTAGACATAAGTAAACTTAAACTATGAAAAAAAACATGAATTTTGACTAAACTGAAATAAATGCAAAGCGTTTTGTACCTGAAAAAGTGCCACGACAACGATTATTGGAGTATATTGGCATGTTTATGTATATTTTATGAAAAAAATACCGTACGTTTTCATTATTTTGTTTGTTTGTTTTTGTTAAACATATCAATGTTGAAACATTGAACTATAATTTTGACGTATGTGCTATATTATAGGTGAAGGAAGGATCACGCGACATGATTTTCGGTTAATGGCACATGATAAGTTAGAATGGGCATTTTCCAGTTCAATACCTTTATTTGTGAAAATAGCAATATGTTTATTACGAAATAATCGACACATGTGTATGGAACGCCATAGCTGTCACATATGGCATAAAAATACTA